TGGGTGTTTCTGTTCAGTGCCCTGAGACGACTTATGTTGTGATTCGGTGCTATATAAATAAATTGAGTTGAATGGAATTGAAAAAATAAACTGATTTGGTGGCTGACAGTCATCATTTTGTAATTTGTCTGTCATGCAAACTGCATGTTTTTCCAGCTACACAAACACATAGTGAACATCATGTGGTCAAACAAGAAAATCTGCATCCTAACTTCCAGAGAGTTGTGTGAACAACATAATGTAAAACCTCAAATTTGATCAAATCATGTCTGTCTCACTTTTTTTGTCAGGATGGAGAGCGGCAGACATATTTTCCAGATCTCGGGAATCAAAAACTGCGACAAGAAGAAATTGTTGATTAAGGGCATCTACAAGCTGCATGGCAAATACATTGGTGGCTCAGTGAGTATAGATTCAGGAAAGAATGGGAGATGGACTGGAAACCAGGTGGTGACGTGTCATTCAGTCTGTCTTTCTGCACGAATGCATCTTCATTTGAAAGATCAAATGCAGTTCTGCAATAACTGTTGGTGGAAAAAATTAATTTTTAAATGTTTGACTTTAACTTTCCTTTTAGTTCTCACATCAGCCTATTTTCTGTCAAAGTTTTTACCATATTTAAGCTTATATTTAATGTAACCAATGAGACAATTTTGGTCTCTGTTTATTCAGTGTGTCAGTTCTCTGTATCTCAAAGAAATCATTTGTAAATCTAAACTAAGTCAATACTATAAAGTTTGTATTTGTGCAACTATTAGGTGTTCAACAAGTTTGCCTCTGGCTAATTCTTTTAGTTTATGTTTGTTTAAAACTTCGGTACCTTATGTAACTGCTTTACTACAGAGGGTTGAGCAGGTTTAACTGGCTAGAAAGATGTATGTAACTGGCAGAACTGTTTCTCACAGAGTAAATCCATTTTCGCTACGTGTAGAATTGGAAATCTACATTTGAGTGAGTGAAGTTTGAAGCATCAGTTTGTATTACCTAAAAACATGTTTTTACCATTTTGTTTTTATTATATGAATGATATGCATTTATAAATAATTTTGGATGTGTTGTTTGCATTAAGCTTTTCTCAAAGCTTTCCCTCATGTTATATGTTAATAAAGTGATAAAATATTACTTTACAGGTCTACAAGCACACCAGCACCCACCTCATAATCCCACAGGTTTTGTCCAGTGAGAAGTTTTTGGCAGCTTGTGCTGCAGGTCAGTCTTTAAAATCTTGTCATTAGGGTAAACATCTGAAAAATAACCCACATGGTAACTTTTATTGAGTTCATTGCTCTCTGGCGTTTCTCTGTTCCCAGGAAAGTGGGTTGTGACTCCGAACTACGTGTTGGACAGCGTTAAGAATGGCTCCTGGCTGGCAGAGGGACCATATGAAGTGGCCATTTTCACAAGTTCCTCAGCTGCTTTCTACCCCGTCAGGCAGTGGAGAGAGAACGTGTCCAAAGGGAGAATAACAGGAGCTTTCCAAGGCTGGAGAGTTCTCCTCATGGTTCAAGAGCCCACCAGGAGAGCCATGTTCAAACGGTGAGCTGCTACCGAAAAGTAACTTCTCACTCAAGATATTGGCGTACAATTAAATCGCAAATTTCTTTTTTTATTATTCATACCCAGGTTGCTAAAAGCTGGCAGAGCAGAAGTATACAACTGTCCTCCTCCCACTTACACCTCCATCACCCATGTAATGGCAAAACCTGTTACAGAGAACTCTAATTCCCACAATGCTCCTTGTTACCCAGTGAGCCACATAGTCCAACATCTTTTTGGGGTAAGTTTAATTCACGTTAAGAATGAAACTAACAGATTATCAAACTTCAGCAGTCTCATTTTTATTTTAACCTCTGTCTTTTAGTTTTCTGTTTACGGTACAAACTCGTAATTTATTTAAGTTGTGTCAGGTCATCTGGATGGTTTCCCAGGAGCCACAAACAAAGGCTTGACTGAACTTTGTTGGATTTTCTACCTGGATTATTGAGCATGAACTTGAACCACTTTGGCTATGGCTGCCTCAGAGGAGAGGGCAGACTTCAGAAACCATCTTATCACCAGCAAACTGGTTGGTCCACTATGTGAGTGTGCTGCTTATGAGACTGAGTTTGTTGTGGCTCCTCGGACTGACAAAGTCCTTTGGGTGAAAGATGAAACATCTCAACAAAAGAAGAAACCGTCCAGATGACCTGACTGAACTGTGTTGGATTTTTTTTACCTGTATTATTGACTATGAACTTTGATATTTGAGTTGTATTTACGTAGAGAAAGCAGCTCATGTCTATTGCATATAAAATTTAAAGATTTTATTATTGCTTGTTGTGGCTCAATTTGAAAACATAAACATTAGGGTTTTTTAAATGTAATTTTGTCTTAATTTAGTTATATAATTACGGTAATATTTTTTTAATTGTTACCTTTTTCTGTTTTGACAGAGCAATCATAAGGATATGAATTTCAACATAGCAGGTGATGAGCTGGTAAAGAAAAAAACGAGTTTTCATGATGAAAACTTTTCTGATTTGGAGGCGGAGCTGAAGAGCTTTGTTGTCAAGAAGGAGGTGTGTTTTCTAAATAGTTTTGAACGTTGTTTAGCAAATTCTTAGCTATTTTTTTATTTCACTTTATCAATCAGCTTTTGTTCTTTTCATCATTAAAGTGTGTTTTTTTTCTCTATCATAGGAGCGGCCAAGACTGCGCTTCCTCGAATTTCTAGGTTACAATGACCCTGATCGTCCCCCCTCACAGGTGCATACATATCTACTCCCAGCCACGTTCACCACTATACATACATCTACAAGATAACTCTGTGTTTCATCAAGCAGATCAGGTCATTCAATTTCCTGTATGTCATACATTTCAATGGAAAGTGACATCAAGAGCGAGGGCGCATCAAAACCAGGTCACTGATTTAACCGCCTCTGAGAGCTTTGATTGGCAGACCTATTAACAATACTCTCCACTGTCCTGTCCATACTTTACCCAAGTGGATGTCTGTCAGATTGCTATTAGAAGTGCTCTTGTATTTTCATTCAGGACTTTCGGAGTCCATATGCTATTCGCCAATAAACGACGGTCAGAAATGACCCTCAGGAACTTTTGATGCCCATTCACTACTCATTTCCATTAGCCTTCTGCCCTCTCTCTCTCTTCTGCTCTTCTGTCTGTTTGAGTGCCGTTTTTCTTCCTCCTTTCCATATACTTTTTCATTTTACCATTGTTCTGCAATTCCTCCAGGCAATAGTCACAGACTTGAGCAACGTTAGCAGCATGATAGAGTGCGGCCTCTTCAGTGAAGCCTTGGACTCGATCAGAAGCGATGCGTTCCCCGGTCTGTTGCCACCAGCGACGCACCTGATCTCCCTCTTAGAATACGCGCAGCAGGTAGGACTAGAATTACCAGACTCCAGAAATTCTCACCTGCTGCCTTTGCTACACGAGCCTGAGGGGGCTCGTGTAGCAAAGGCAGGTTGTCTGTAGATGTGCAGACAGATCATTGTTCCACAACATTTTTTTGAACGTCTGTAGCTGCAGCTTGTATTGGAATTGTCAAGTAGCACTACAATCATGCATGCTTATAATCACTGGATCAGTCATAGTAGAACGAAGCACCTGAACTTCAATTGTTGTGCGTACATTGTGCAGGGTAATGCAACAGCCATTTTCCTGAGAAGTTTCCATGACGTTATGGTAAACCTGCTGCTCATCAACCCTCCATGGTTCGCTCCCAGCTCAGTGAAGAAATATTACGTTCAACTGTTGCAGTGTCCTCGGTGTAAGAATGGCTTGTGGCCTTTTCTAGAAACAGCCATCAGGTAATCTTCATGTTATGTGAAATTTCTTGAAAAAAAAAAAAAAAGAAGTGTCACTCTGGTATTTACTGTGTTTCAATTGGAAGTAATAAGATGGTTTTAAACATTGTGGAGTTAACGAGCAGCCTGGCATCTTGTAAGTGAAAACGTGTTTATTTCTTCCCGTGTTTGATCACCAAGGTACTGCCTGTCCAGCAGCGTCACCTGCCACCCTCTACCTGGACCCTCCTTACCAACACTAGTTCAGTTCCATTCTGACATCCTTGCCTTTTGCCTCAAGCTCTTTCAGGGAGAACTCTACTCTGTTTCCAGCAGGTATCAATTTCAATTAACTCATGTACTGTCTTTTTCAAGAATATCGGTAATTAGTTTTGCAAAGATAGAAATTTTAATGGCTGGAACGTAACTGTATGCATCCTTATCGTTTACTTCGTCAGAGACTTTGCGCTGCTGCAGCCAACATGGGTCCCATCTACTCCGACTTCTGGTTCGTTGCTATATGGAACCTTCTGGACTGTGTGGGAGCGCTCCACGTTGTTGTCTCGTGCTGTGAAGCAGCTCACTCAGCTCATAGTACAGGCTGCCACTGCGGTGAATGCTTTGTTTTTTTAAGCAAATAAAATGGTCCTTATTCATATTACGCATAGAGTTTTTGTGATTTTTATGATCTGATGTTTTTCTTCACGGAAGGCTTTTGCTGAGCGGGAGGAGAAGCAGAAGATGTATTTGGCAGACACTCTGCTGCGCCTGCTGTCTGTGCTGGTGGAGTTCTGGTGTCAGCAACACTTCAGACTGAATCAGTGCCTGGTGGAAAAAGGTCTCAAAGACCTGTCGGAGCATTTTGCAGTCATCAGCCAGGGTATGCACTAAAAACTGAACGACAGAATTGGATTTATTTGAAGTTGACTACATGTTACTGCTTGTGTCATCTGGACAGTTTATTTATTTATTTATTTTTTTGTTGAGATATTTTGTCCTTCATCCAAAGGACTTCATCAGTCCAAGGAGCCACAACAAACTCAGTCCCACAAGCAGCACACCCACATAGTGGACCAATCAGTTTGCTGGTGATAAGATGGTTCCTGGGGCTCGTCCTCTCCCCTGTTGACTCCCCAGAGGTAGCCAAAGTGGTTCAAAACATCAAAGTTCATGCTCATTAATCCAGGTAGAAAATCCAATGAAGTTAGGCCAGGTCATCTGGACGATTTCTTTTTTTTTTTGTTGTTGTTGTTGAGACGTTTCGTCCTTCATCTAAATGACTTCATGAAGGCACTCTGAGGCATCACCTAGCTGCCTCAGAGGAGTCGATGGGGGAGAGGGTGGGCCCCATAAACCATCTTATCACCAGCAAACTGGTTATGTGGGTGTGCTGCTTGTGGGACCGAGTTTGTTTATGGCTCGTCGGACTGATTATGTCCTTTGGATGAAGGAAGAAACGTCTCAACAAAAAAGAAAGAAAATAAACCGTCCAAATGACCTGACTGAACTTTGTTAGATTTTCTACCTAGATTATTGAGCATGAACTTTGATGTTACTGGTTGGTATAGAATTGGTCCTAGTTTAATCAAATTATCTTTGTTTTTCTAAAAAAAAAAAAAAAAAAGAAATTCAAAGTTAGAACAGGTGCTGCTAAAATATACCTAAACAATTATATTATATAATTGTATTTTTTTGTTGTTTTAAACTACTGATTCCCCCTCTCTGTTTTCTCCTCTAGATTTATCTCCAGCTGTTTTGGCGGAGCTGGTTGCTTGTGTTCACTCGCCCAGGCTTAGGTTGGTCATGGCAGATGCCATATTCAGAAATATCTGCTGCAGAAATGACTTCACCATAGGTGATGAACCACTTTCTCTCAAAAAAATGGTGTGTATTTATTTTCTTTGTATTCATTTTCATTTTAATTGAACAATTGATTCTTTTTGGTTGTTCGGTGGCCTACACTTGATATTTAGAATGATTCAGAATTTTTACTTGTTTCAGATTAATGCAACCAAATCAGCTTCTATAGGAATTAGGAGTATAATTTCACAGCAGGGAAAACTGCTTACACTTTGCTTTGCTATTATTATTATTTTAGCCCCTGTTAAGTTGTAGCGTAACAAATCTGATTTCCTCTATTTATTTATTTATCCTTTATAAAATATAGTTTGAAGTTGACATGTATTGCTCTTGAAAAACATTTTGCTTTTGAGGACATGAAAGTTTGAACATCTTTGGTTCAATGACGCTGATATCAGTGCCTTTATAGGCATAAAACACTGTTAATAAGCTCAGTGCTATGAATAGACTGGTGCTGTGGTTTGACCATCATATAATGTTGCAGCAGAACATCTGGTTCTCTCGCCCACCCAGTTCTGCAGGGACGCCTACTTCCACTTGAAGTGTAAAGACGATGTCTAACCTTGTGTGTGACTTCTGACAGGTGCGTTCTTACCTGCTGGCTCTGGGAACTTTAGCTCGGAGTCCCAGTGGTGCTCACAGCAAGACTAGATCCACCTCACACAGCTGCACTAGTCCGGGGACCAGCAGGTCAGTTACACTCAGCCTTCTGTCAATACCTTTGTTCGTTTACATTGTGCTTTCTTAAAAGAGCCTGAAGCTAAACAAACGAGTGCAGTACATCAAGTGAATGTATTTTTGACCTGATAGGGGCTCTCTTCTTTCACTGTGTTCACAAAGCAACTCTTAAAATTTTGACACTTCCAACAAAACTGTTTTCCTTGAAGAAAACATATGGATTTTTTTAAAAGCTACATATGCCACTGTGTCTTCTTCAGTCTTTGTTTCATCACATCTTTGTCTGCTTCAGAGAGTCTAAAATAACAGAAGTATTCAACCAGCCATTTGCTACGCCTCCTTTGTCAAATTTCCACCCACATAGTTAAGGACAGGCAGTGCAGTATTAAGCAGAACAGGTGAATGCTAAGATATGACGAGAAGTGCGAGTGAAAAGGAACAAAAGGAACACCTGGAGGGAGGAGGAGTGTGTGGAGGTGAGGTGTGAACTGGTGGTGGTGGTGGGGTGGAGCTGGAGACAGGCAAGTGGAGGTCAGCCAGAGCTTGAGGAGTTGGCATGTGACGGGTTATGACCAGGTCTGATCTTATCGGTGTGTGCTGGCTGACAGGAGGGGTGCAAAGGGAGGTTATGCCCCCCCCACACAAAAACACACACTGTGTAGTTTGTACAGAGTCCACAGGTAGACTTGGATCTTCGATCACGCCCTTGCGGCTTCCCTTAGCCCTCACCTACCCACTCACACTTTTCTTGATCTATCCTTGCATACTAAATCCATCTCTTGATGCAACCTCACACACACACCCTCCCTCCACACACTCCGTATCAGACATCTGCTGCTCCACCAGCAGGTAGTTGGCCTGGGGAGAAGCAGGAGTCACCAGGGAGCAGGTTCATGTGAAGGCTACTGGTTCATGCACTGACCAGATTCCCTCCATCCATCCCTGCTCTCTCCGTACTTTCCCTAACACTTTTTACTGCTCGACTTAATTTTGACACAGACACGAGCGGAACCGAATGAAACAAGGAACGCAGCCTGTGCGGATGAGATAAAGAAATGCCAAAGGGCATGTAAAAATCATTTGACCCTAAAAGAAAGAATAAAACCAAAATGACAAAGCCTGTGATAAATTGAGAACAGACACTAAAAGCAAATCTTGTTTCCTCACTTTCATGGTTGAATTCATGATATTGTACATAAATTTCAATGAACTTGACACTCTTAATCAATTTATCTCGCACTGAAGCATTTATAAAGCCGCCACACTTATTCGTCTCAAAGAATGTTCAAAACTAAACCGGTCATGTTAAGAAAGCTGCACGACTTGCAAATAATGTGTATATTAAACTTAAGATCACTGTATTTAAAATAGAAACTTTGAGAGCAATAAGTTTAAATATCTTAAATGTGATTATAGTTTCAGAAAATATATAACTTGCAAATTGAGCACACAATGTCAGATGTTTGGTATTGGACTTGTGAAAAGTAACTGCAGGTTATAATGTGAGAAGACAACATGACCTCTTTTAGCTTTCATTTCTGACACATTAGGATTTTTTGTGAGGGTGTTGAGGTTGTTTGAGAGATGGCGAATGGGTTTCATCTGCTCCAGCAGATGAGCTGCTGCGAGGGCACGTGTCCAAGCTGCACCGAGCTGACAGGGCGGCTGATTGACCGACTGTTGAGACGACCGTTTAACTCGCCGACTGGCTGCACAGCGCTGAGCGCTGTTAGCAGGAGAGAATCTGCAATTAAACTGATGTTATCCTCCTGCTTGCAGCTTAATAATACTGTGTGCATCTTTGATACTGTCATGAACAAATAACGTAACAGCAACGTAATATACTTTGACTAGTTTGGATGCATGTTTGTAAAAGCTCAATATTGATTATAGGTTTTAGACAACCCCTTTGTTCAACATACAGTCAGAATTGTTTATTTTCTCTTCAGTTTAATAGAAAGAAAATCTGTATTTATAGACTTAAGTCAAAACAACTACCATATTTTCCGGATTATACGTCACTCCTGAGTATAGGTCGCATTAGTCAAAAAATGCGTCACGAAGAGGAAAAAAAACATATATAAGTCATTTCAGATTATAAGTCACATTTATTTAGATGTGTATTTCACAAAATGCAAGAACAGACATTTAATCTGAAATAACAAAAACACGCAGAACATACCTGGGATCCTCAACAGGCTTAATTAACATAAGACAATGAGTCCGACAAGCAAGTTAGCATCCTCTGCGTCACTTCTGAACAACTCTGCCAACTCCAGAGAAGATTGGGGGGTGTAAGGGGCTAGCAGAAGAGGAACAACATTTAGTTGTCAAAAGCCTATAGGGCCCTCTCGTGGCTGCAAATAGTAATGTTTACTCTTTGGTTCATGTCAGTACGAATGAACATTTAACGCGTCAGTCAAAAATTGCATCATGACTAAAGAAACAAACGTATATAAGTCGCTTCGAACTATATGTCGCAGGACTGGCCAAACTATAAAAAAAAGTGCATCTTAAAGTCCGGGAAATACGGTAATTGAATGTTCCAGCTGTGATTAAAAAAAAAAAAATACAGAATTCTGGTTAATTTACTGGTAGTATGATTTGAAATTATTAAAGACACAATGAGAGGTTAGTTGCCTTGCATAGCTTCTTGCTGCATCGGGACTGGATATGGAATATGTATAACAGCTGCTCACAATTTCCATTTTACCAAGTCCTCCTCCATGTATACACCCCGCTCCAGGGCCAGAACTGATATCAGTGCCATTCACAGCATGCTGGCCTCCCAAAATAGAGAGTAACACAAGCCAAGTAGAGTACCTCCAGCCACCACTGCTGCCAGTGTGCACGGACAGTCGGGGACACTCGGGTGAAATTGTCTGTGATGAGAAACGGTGCGCCCTCATCATAGACAGCATTACGGAGTCTCTCTCGCGTTCAGATCCACCCAGAGCTTGTCTCATCTCTTCTCAGCCTTGTCCCTGCTAATAACAAGCAACGTGACAGGACGTGTGTTTCCTCCTCACTGCTGGCAGCTCCTTCCTGGCTTCTGAACAACCCAATTACCAGGGAACAAGCCTCTTCCCTGTAATACGGATGGCACTCCACTTTAATGCAATGCGCGCGCACACACGTGCACAGATGTATACACGCACGACACCTGTCAGGCTCCATGCAGCAGGCAGATGCTCCGTACCCACACACAGGACTAGTGACAGCCCACCGCTATTAGCACGCCACTACTTTGAAGAGGTTTCACTTTCTTTTACTAGTTATTTTCCCTAATGTGCTTTCTCGCGTCAAATTCTTCATCTCTGCGTTTAAGCTGTTAAGTGGGAGGAAAACAACTTTGGATACAGGAATAGAGGATAGGAAGTGTGTGTGAGCCAACACAGTGAGGGGTTTGACAGATATCGTCAGATGTATAGGGTGATGCCACACCATGAGGGATTAATTAGCTAAAGGTGCATTTTACTTCACATTAGTGGTGGTTCCACTTCCTGAATGACTTGAGCGCCTTGGTGCAATTCTCAATCAATAAAATGTTGACCATGATCATGTGAATTGTGGGTAATAATGATTTGAAATAGTTGTGAAGAGTATTGTTTGTTTGTTTTTCCCTAAAAAGGTCGAGTCAGGTCCTCTGGACAGGTTCTTCTTTATTGAAACGTTTCATCTTTTGTCCAAAAGATCTTCAGTCTGAGGAGCTGCAAGCAAATTCGGTCTTATAAGCAGCACTTTCCCATGGTGGATCCACCAGTTTGCTGGTGACAGCCAAAACTAGTTGTTCACATGATAAAGGAGGACCATCAGTCTACCGACCGATCATTAGTGACCTGATGGTCGCTTGCTATTCACAGAGGGCTGAGTGATACTTGCAATAACAGTATTGTAAGAGGGGGACATTGTTCCACAGAGTGAACTGCATCACTGCTGAAACGTTTATTTTCTAAACACGACATCCCAGTGTCTTTCAAACCCCAAAATACATTACATCAAAGACTGGTCAATCCCAAAGATCCAGTCCCCCGGCACAAACAGAGTAATAACAGAGATATGGAATATGTATAACAGCTGCTCACAATTTCCATTTTACCGAGTCCTCCTCCATGTATACACCCCGCTCCAGGGCCAGAACTGATATCAGTGCCATTCACAGCATGCTGGCCTCCCAAAATAGATTAATTAGATTAAGGTGCATTTTACTTCACATTAGTGGTGGTTCCACTTCCTGAATGACTTGAGCGCCTTGGTGCAATTCTCAATCAATAAAATGTTGACCATGAGCACGTAATAATATGTATGCTGTTCAGTGCCAGGACGGCTGTGATCAGTTCTACATCGGGGAAACTAAACAGCCACTGGCCAAAAGGATGGCCCAGCACAGAAGAGCAACATCATCAGGCCAGGATTCTGCGGTTTACAATTTATCGGCCCAGATTTCCTTAATTTTGGGAGATCAGAGATCGGCCGATACTTACATGAGAAACCAATTTTACCGATTTTTTTTTGTAGTTTTTACAACAGTTTCTAAAATTCATTTATATTTCAGAGCACTACCTCATGGCCAGTTAAGACAAGTCTGTAATGTTTCTAGGATATTGTTCAAGGGTATGTCATCCAATAAAATAAGATTTGAAAATTGAAGGTACATCGTGACCTCATAACACCTGACAGTGTCGCTTATAAAACAAAATTGGAATCGGCAGATCAGACTTTTTAGAAATCAGTGATCGGTAATCAGCCAGAAAACTGCAATTGGTGCACCCGTAGTTTACACTCATCTACAGGACAGGTGTCACTCTTTCAAGGATGAAGATGTTCACATCCTTGATAGAGGGGAACGATGGTTTGAGAGAGGAGTGAAGGAGGCCATCTATGTGAAGAGAACCCATCATCAAACAGTGGAGAAGGCCTCTGTCTTCAACTGTCTCCTTCTTTCAAAACTGTTATTACTAGTATCACTCAGCCTTCTGTAAATAGCAAGTGGCCATCAGGGCACAAAAAAGTTGGTCGTTAGGCTGATGGTGCTCCTTTTGCATGTGAACAACTAGTTTTAGTTGTCACCAACAAACTGGTTGATCAGCTATGAGAAGGTGCTGCTTATAAGACTGAGTTTGTTGCAGCTCTTCAGACTGAAGGTCTTTTGGATAAAAGACAAATATTTCAACAAAGAAGAATCCAACCAGAGGGCCTGACTCAACCATGTTACATTTATCTACTTGATTATTGAGCATGCATCAGGGCATTGTTTTTTTTTTTTTCTTCTTCCTCAAACCCTTAGACAATGTTTATTGTGTTCTTGCAGAACTCAGAACTTGTTGGTGAATGAAACAAGTCCAGAAAAAGAGAACACCCCCAGGGGCTTGTACAGAGTCAATGCAGCAGGTATGACACTCGTGCACACACACACACACACACACACACACACACACACACAACCTGCTGAGCAATACAGCCTCACATTTGCAAGATACAGACTTTTAATGAACTGATGCATGACACTAGGTCATCTTTAGAAAGGAACATGATAGCTCTGTCATCACTTTTGGTTTATTCACGTGCACATAATGTATGAAGATGGTGATTGATTTTCATCGGCCGTTACTTCTATCCTATCAGCTTTAAAAGCAACATGTAAGATAAAGTGGTGCTTCATACCCTATTCATTGCATTCAGAGTTTAGACTGTCCATATCTTGTCTCATTTTACAAATGTAATATTTTTCTTAAAAAAAAAAAACATGTTATTATGCAAAGTTTGTCAGATTTCCATTTTTGGGATGTTAAATGGGGTATCGCTGCAACTATACAGCATGTACACTGATGGAGCTTCCTGCAATCATAGGCAGTGCACTCAATGTGAACTCTCGAAAGTGTCAGAGCTCATATCTCCCACCTCCACCTGATCAGAAAGGCCCTGTGCTGGTGCAAAGGAAGGGTGGAGGGTAAAGGAGAGGTACTAGAGGAGGAGAGGCTGAGGCAGGAGACTCAAGGCTGTTGGCATGTGTTGTTTTTCTACTACGTGATCTTTATACCGATGCACTCGGCATTAATTTTTGATGAACCATCGGCACAGCATCCTCCCCTCTCGCCCTCTCATCCCCCTTTTTCTCCCTTCATATTTCTCTCTTACAGGCACTTTCACCCACATGTGTAAGCTTGCTTTCTTGTATTCCACACATCTTTGTTTTAGAGCATCTGACTTTCCTTGTGGAAACTCTTGTATCTTTGTCACAGTAGCTGAGAGGGGTTGGGGGCTTTGGGAGCAACTTCTCTTTTTCAGTTTTGCGTTTACTTTTTTTTTTTTTTTTTTTTTTTTAAGCTCAGCGCAGATATCAATTTTAATGAGCCCAGATATATAGCATATAGATCGTCAAACAAGAACTGCTGAGTTTCACTGTTTAGAACCGCTTTGCATTTTGCTGCACATCATCTCTGAGATAAATTGGAAATGTCAGTTTTTCCACAAAGTCTCAAAGACGGAACGCAATGTTTTCGAATAAGGAAAGCATACATTAATTTTTTCTTTCTTTCTTTTAATCTATGAACCCCTTAAAGTGATCCGAGCAGCTATAATAAAAATGTATGGGCCAATGCAACAAAAGCCAATTGTATTAAAAAGTGTTGTCGATACCCTATTCAAAATGAGCTTATGTATATATTTTTTAAACTGTCTCTGTTTTGACAGTTTTATATTGTGTTTGTATGTTATTATATCCTGTGGATACTGTCATTAAGTATTTTTATTTCAAAATACTTTTTTATGTTTTTATGAAAAAGTTCCACAGATGATTACTGAGCGGTTCTAGTTTTTTTCTGTAGTTTTCAGTTGTATGATGTGTTGCCGCCCAGCAGATAAAGTTTAAAGTAACGTTTGTCTTGTCTGTCAGTATTAGAAGATATTCTGTCTACTTTGGCTAAAGCTTTGAGCTTGAAAATGCATTCAACATCATCTGTAAAATAATAAAACAAAAAGATAAAACTTTCTGAGACAAAAACCATGAAGTCTCTTCACACCCACAATCTGCACCTGCACATGTTCCTTCCCTTGTTTCGCCTTGCAGTTCTTTTCGTTTTATATAGAATTGTAAAATCTTCACAACATACTCCTGATAGTTCTAAATAATGGATCATTTGTTTCATTGGCCATATGTGAAGTGTCCTGACCTTCACTAATCTTTCTGTCTTCTCCAGGCTACATATTGATTTGCTGTTAAGAATGTTTGTGTGACATTTTTTCATACTTTATCACACTTCAAACATGAAAAAAATTAACCTACAATGTGTCATTTAATTTAACAATGCTGTTTATCAATTTTTATTATACATCTCTAAGACAGTTTGTTAATCTCATTACAGACAAGTTATTACAAAGAGGATGTCTGTTGCTATTAACCAGTGTCATTTTTGACAGAGTAAATATTAATCCTGCAGTCTTTACATGGGAAAAGGTTTAAACGCTTCAGTCTCAGTGAGAAGGTTGCCGGATCATATTCAATCCTGGGGGCTTTGTGGGTAGAGTTTGTATGTTCTGTCCGTGCATGTGCTGGTTTACTCCGGGTTCTCCGTTTCCTCCCACAGATCAAAACATGCATGTTAGGCTAATTGGTAACTCTAAATTGTCCCTAGGTGTGTGAGTGGGTGGGTGGATGGATGGATGGATGGATGGATGGATGGATGGATGGATGGATGGATGGACGGACGGACGGATGGACGGATGCATGGATGGATGCATGGATGGATGGATGGGTGGATGCATGGATGGATGCATGGATGGATGCATGGATGCATGCATGCTAAGGCTTGTTTTTCTTTTTTTTCTTCTTCCAGGAACAGTTAAAGCTGCAGTAATTCCAGCTTTAGGAAATTATTACCGTGCTTTGATTTTAAAACCAGCAACAGTTGAAGTCTTCAAATAGTTTAAAATGATCAAGTAACTAACCACAAAATACCTCCCTTTTCTCACGCCCCCATTACCTCACATTTCTAACGGTCAAATGGTATTGTTGCAGGCTTCCAACAGCTTTTTGGTCCACGCATCAACAGGCCAAAGCAGCGCTTTACAGGACTATAGCAGGCAGACTGAGGGATATAAAGAGCAACACATACATTTAACTTTTCTATTAAAGTGTAAAACGGGGAATTTATAGAAAAGGACAGGCGGATTTATCCTTTCCGTGCTTGTAAATGCTGAGCATGCAATTACCCCTATAATAGAGGCGTTGTGTCCAAATTGGAGCCATTAAAGTGATTTACCACTGCATGGATTGGCCCTGGCATTTGCGAGGATGTGTACACATGGGGTATAGAGGAATGGTTGTTTAATCACAGCGTTTTAGCGCCTGGTAATAGCACAGCAGCCCACGAAGAACCCTGACATCGTACAGCTTACTCATTAAAGACTGCAGTTTGGGTTTGGCGCTGGCATCTGATTGGTCATTTTTTATCTTTAATTTGGAAATATATTGGCTTGCTTCTCTAATTGGCCTATAGTTCCAAATACTGTTAGTGTACAACCACCTGAGTGTCTGCTTTGTGATGTAACATCTACAATATATATACATATATATTTTTTATTTGACTCTTTAGCTTCTTTAAAGTTGCTGTTGTATAAGTGTTTCTGGATATAACCTTAAACGACAATAAAGTTGACTTGAACTTGAAACTAAAGAAATAGCATTTCCTGCTAAAATGCAGTGTGAATGCTTATTGCTGAAGAACTTGCTGAAAAAACATGAAATTAGCTAAAAATAAAAAAAATGCTGAAATGGAAGAACAAGCTTAAATTAACAGAAGAAAGCAGAACTAGCACATACAGTATTTTTATAGCACAGAAATATCAGAGTTTCTTGTGTATGTTCCTTTGTACTGAAATTATGGCACAACAATTTCCTGCGGGATCAATAACGTTCTATCTTATTTTATATTCACTGAATTAGGTTTGAATAAGCAGAAATTAGCACAAAAATGAGGAAATAAGCTAAAAATAAAAAAGCTCAATTTATCAAAAAACATGCAAAAAGTTGCCAAAAAGGTAGAAAGAAGCATAACCTATGAGAAGGAAGTGGCTAGAGCTGAAATGAGCTAAAAAAAAAAATGGGATTAGCTGAAAAGGCTAAAATTTGCATAAGAGGAGCTAAGCAATAACTGAAATAGCAGAAAAGGTTGAAACTAGCTGAAAAATGTTGAAAGGAGCATAATAAGCTGAAATTAGCAGAAAGAAGTTAATTAGACTGAAAGTAGCATAAATTACCACAAAAAAATTGAATTTATCTAAAAATGTGAAATTAGCTAAAAGATGTTCAAAATGTAGCTGAAAATGTAGAACAAGCTTAAATTAGCAGAAGAAAGCAGAAACAACAAATGGTTGGCCAATTGGGCTGAAAGAAGCGGAAATTAGCACAAAAAATTGAAATTAACTGAAAAAAGCTGAAATTATAAACAACAAAACAGATGAAAAATTGCTTAAAAAGCAGAAAAACTTAAATTACAAGGAGGAAGTGGAGATAGAAAAAAATTGCTGAATTAGGTAGGAAAAAAAGGTCTAAAAAGTGCCAAAAATGTGAAATTAACTGAAAAAGCTTAAATTAGCAGGTAGAAACTGCTATTCTTTTTACCAGAAAAACAGCTAAATAGTAGCTGAAATAGAAGAAAAAGCTGAAACTTGCAGATATCATCTGAAAAGAGCAGAACAAGCTAAAATTAGCAGAAAGAATTTGGGAGAAGCACAAAAATGTTTTGGTTTGCAGAAAAAAATCTGAAAGGATCACAGAACAGCTGAAATTAGCTGAAATAGCTGATTTTTTTATTTATTTATTTATTTATTTTTTCACAAAGAAGCTGAATCGGAAAAAAAATGTGCAAGGAGCAGTAAAAGGTTGTAAACAGATCTAAAGATATGAAGGATGAAAAATGAGCTCAATTTATTTATTTATTTATTTATTTATTCATTTCATAACAAAATAAAATACATATCAATTAACATATATGTAATTAGAAAACAATTATAAATATAAAATGAAAGGTAGCAGATGAAGAAAAAATCTTATTGAATCTGCTCCTTATTTATCTAATAAACCATTCAAACAAACATATTCAGAAAATTATCAGAAACAAGTAAATAACTCAAGTAATGTTTCAAATATCCAACATTTTTCATGAAATACATTCATATATATTTTTTTAGCAATTGAATTTTTACCATTTTCTTAAATACCGAGATTGATTTAGCTTCCTTAACATCTAACTCCAAGTCGTTCCACAGTCCAACACCCTGAATTAGGGTAGATCTTCCCTTCAAACTGGTTCTGAATTGTGGTTTAACAAAAACATCTTTCCCCTTAAGATTATAATTACTAGCTCTTTTTACACAATGCATTTGGATATTAGAAGGCAATGTATTATTATGAGCTCTATACATGAATGACAAAATGGTATAATCCACCAAATCAGGGAACTTCAACAACTTCATTTGACAAAATAATATACTCGATGGATGATAATAATGTTTACCCTTGATAATTCTTACAACTCTTTTCTGCAAAATAAAAATAGACTTTGTAATTGATTTACATGCTTTTCCCCAAATTCATTTTCTATGAGGAAAAAAATACCAGAAAAGGCTAAATATTTCAAAAAGCTAAAGTTACACCAATACTAAAAGTCATAGTGGGATTGTCCTGAAAGAGCTGAACGTTTTGATTTATGATTTGTTGAAATACTGCAGCTTGAAAACTGCAGGACGAGAAACACGCTGAAATACATACGGAAGAAAAATGGATCACAATAGTGTGAATGCTTCATAAACATTCACACAAGAACTACTGTTGAATGGTTTGCTAATAAGTGGTGACGCAATGATCCAACTGTCTGCTAACGTTGTTTTGGAAGTTTACAGCGGATAGAGGTTTTAGCAGCAGTCAGAACCAAATATATTCACTGTGAACGTTACAATTTATTTATTTTTTTGTTTATAATATTTCTGCATGAACATAATGAACAAAAAAAATCTCAACTTCTTAATCACCAGTTAAGTTGGGTGGTCTTTAATGCATCGTTTGCACCCACAAAGACATTTGCTGGAAACCAGAACATTTTCAAAATGTATAGGATCCTGTAGTCTCAATATGTTGTCAACATGCTTTGAAATGCAGGAAACCCTTTTGCTCTCACTATCACCGCTTCTTCTTTCACGTCCTATTCATCCCTCCTCCTCCCATCATTTATTTCCACTCCAGTCTGTGCATTTGAGTGGTGCCCCTGTACAGCCACGGCATCCTGGGGAGAACCAGTAAAGCATTTATTACAGGCTTTGCAGGTCTGTATTATACTTGCAAGCGCAGAGCCACTCATGCTTGGCCTTTAACTTCCCTCTGAAGTTCAGCCATACATAAAAAGACGGGGCTCCGGGCCCCAAGAATAGTCCTGATTTTATATTGTATTTTTTAAAAAGTAAGGAATCCAGGGAAGATGAGAAGGAAAATTGCATGAAAACTTTGTTTAAGAATGTAAATGGAATCTTTTGAGTTTTTATTTCCTTTTTTTTTTTTCCAATGATAGTTTGCTGAATAAATATCATGTGGTGAAAATGCCCGGCGGAGCTTTTGAACCCAAAATCTGTGAAGAATCCTTTCAGAGTCTTTGTGCGTGGGCTTTCTACCATAACTTCCTCTCAAGTAAGAATTTAGGGATGAGCGAACAGGAAGCAGGACTGTTTTCTCTCCACTGCATTTATTCACTCGCCTTCTGCCCTGATGTTCACTTTTTTGGGCATACGCTGAAAATCTGTCTGTAGAAGAAGAAGAGCGGGGCAAATTAACCCAACTAGTCATCCTTAATTTGTTTTTTTCTCATTTCTTTTTATACCCGCCTGAAGATCCCCCCCCCCCCCCTTTTCTCAACACTTGTTAAATCGCATCCTCATTGGTGGGTTGTACTTTTTTTAGGTCAGATTATGTGTGTGTGTGTGTTTGGGGACATTTTGGTGGTCTATTATTGGTGTGTATATCAAATGGAGGGGGACAATGAGAAGGACATCAGTCACACTCTAATTTGGGATTTCTCTCTTCTCTTCCACCTCTTCTTGCTTTTCGGTGGGTTTGTCCATTGTGCGTGTGCCCTGGTTGAAGGCGAAACACTCCTCCACAGAGCGTGCAAGAGGAACCAAGTGGAAACGGTGCTTCAGATCCTGGCACTTCCTGGCACGGATGTCAATGTTAAAGGTAAGACTCGCCGACGTTTCCGTTTTTTCTGTATCCTCTGTCTTTGTCGTTCTCTCGGTGCGCTCCGGTTTGCTCCTGGGTTTCGAAGAGCGATTAACACTGAGGGGGCAAAGGAGCTGGAAATAGAAGTGCGGGTGCGTCATCGCTGAGGTTAACCTTTCGCTAAAATGTAAAGGGTGTGTCTAGAAAGAAAGCGGGGTGTGTTTGAGGTCTTTGATTTATAGATTTCCAGTCATTTCGGTGACTGAATGGAACGCCTTTTGATATTTTATGAGGGTTTTTCTGTAGTTTCTTTAGGTCAGATATAATAACTTGCCCTTCTTTAATGGAAATATGCTGTTTCAAAGGTAACCAGCATTTAAAATGGTTTAAACTGGTTTCTCAGCAGGGTGCTGATGTCCAAAATCCAACCAAGAGGAAGAATAGATAAAATTGCTCCTATGTATTGTCACTGTTGCAGTTTTATGCAAAAACAAGGCCTGAGATAACCAAGAGAAACACTCACAGTTTGGTCTTGTTTTCTGGCTGACACTTTTAGTGTGTTTTTTCCTTAGAACTCGCTAGTTTTCTTTGTATAATTAAAACGGACAGGTATAAATTATTAAAAGTTGAAACATCCGTTTTAACAAATCTTTGGCGTATGTATTTTTTTTTCCCTTTTAAGATTTTGTGTTGTGATATTTTTACAATGTTAATGACCTATTTGCGACATCTAAAGAAAAGTTTTGAACTGCAACAGATTCATTATGTCTTATCAGTGTTAGCAGCCTCACCTCAGTCATGCTATCATGTTAATTTAAAATGGGTTGTCAAAAGGTCATTAGTTCTAATAACCAACCAATAACTTAACTACAGATGAGGTATGAGGAATGTAACCTGTCCAAATCTTCTGCTTTCAGTGAGAGACTTGGTCCTTTAGCAATCTCATTATAGTCTCAAGATATAGAAGTCTGTTTTTTATGTTATACATCCTGACTGTCTGCATGGTCCTCTTTATGTGTTTACCACGTAGACCATGCAGGTTGGACGCCTCTCCATGAAGCATGCAATCATGGCAGCACTGAGTGTGTGAGAGCTTTGCTCCGTCACCGCCCCACCCCCATCCTCAATGGCCAGGTTGGTGGAGTGAGTCCTCTTCACGACACTCTGCTAAACGGACACACGGACATAGCTAAAATGCTACTGGAACACGCAGGTGAGTCAACTCCACACGTGCTTTCATAATTCTGACGTGCTTACTTCTTCTGTTTTGTACTTCGCTTTGAGAAACATCGCAGTGGTGCAGTTGATGAGCAGGTGAGTAAGGAAGATGAGCTGTTTGCTGAGTGCTATAGCTCAGTTTGTTGTGTGTAAGGTTGAATAACAAAAGCTCTGTTTTTTTCAAAAACACTTTCTCAACTGAACATTGAGTGAAGTCAAGTGTTTCACTCAACCTCCTAAAGTCACTTGCAAAGATTTTAATTTTATACGAGTGCTTTGGTTCTGTATATATTTTGCCTGTAGTGTCAGACAGTTTGTCATGCCTCAGAAAAGTGGATCACCTTATGAAAAGGGTGCATGTTATGTCTCCCCTAAAGTGCAAACACATGCTATAAAGTATTTTATGAGATGGAGCTTATAATTTTTAACAACATGAACTGAAGTGATCACTGTGTAGCAGTTAGACGCAGGTCTGCTGTTAGGCTGTTACCAGGTAATGTTGGTCTTTAATGATTCAGTGTCACGTTTCTCAGCTTTGTTTTATTTTAGGTAGGGGGTTATACTGTACTGCACCTATTAAAAGTGTTCACCCCCTTGGATGTTTTATGCTTTTATTACTGTCATAAATCAATCATGGTCAACATAACTTTATTTATGTTGGGGGTTTTTTTAACCAAAAAAATATGTTAAAGTGAAAAAGATTTTTAGCTCTTTTAATATGAACTTTACTTTAGTATCTGAAACTGTGATAAAATTAGTGTTGCTACCTGTTTTTCATCTTCATATCATTAACTAAAAACTTGTCTTTCGAAATCGTTATTTATTTAATCTACATGGTACTACAGCTGAAGCCAAGTCAAAGTTTCATGGCACTAACAAGTAAAACACTGTTTATGTACGAAACAATTGACTTTTCTTTACCTTATTAGCTTCATGATGGAAGTAGCAACTTCTTAGAGGAGAAAATTTCATTAAAGAGCGCTCGACAAATTTCAGTTTGTTCAGCTCAAACGTAGAATTTGCATGTGAAAACAAATGTATTATTTGTTTGGGTAAAAATCAAGTGATAGGAAGTTCAGATTATATCAACTGAGTAATTAAAACATTTTTAACAGCAGGAAAAAAAAGTTTTATTTTGATTTCAAAAGGGTTCATAATCATATTTGTGGTGGTTTCATTTTTTTTTTTTTTTTTTTTATCACATTGACAAAATGGAATTTGTATGACTGGCAATAAGGCATACATTGGTCTGGTCTTGGTCTGTTGCCTTCATATATCTCCTCCTACATGTCACTTTTTGAGTGCAGCTACAGCATGCATGCACTCTCAGGACATAATTACCTGCAGTGTCCCCTCTGTGTGGACCGAACTATGCAAAAGGGCCTTCTCTTACTCCGCCCATGTAACTTGGAACACCTTACAAAAAGATCTGATGTTGTCGACTTTGACCTCTCTAAGGGATTTTAAACAACTGCTAAGTTCATGGCAAAAACCAATGCATACATGTTCCTGTTTTTAGTAGAGATGCACCGATCCGTTGTCAGTATCGGTACTGATATCTAAAAAACTTCTGGAACAGGTATCGGAGACAATGTGGCCGATCCATTTTCCGATCCAACTTGCAGAGATTTCCGATCCATGATGCATGTTGGCTTCAAACTATGGAATGGATTTTCTGAACGGAGGCGTGTCTCATGAACCCAGAGTAATAAGACCCGCCTCACATTCAGGAAATCCATTTCATAGTTTGCAGCCAGCTACAACATGAGGACTGAGTTAGCAGCACTGTGGCTAACAGCTAACCAACTTTTCATCTAAACAGGTCCGCTGTGTGGAAGTATTTTACACTAGAAACACCACAAAACAAGACAGCAACGTGCAATGTCTGCAGAGTCATAGCGCCACATTAAAGCGTGGTAAAGTTAGTTTCACGTTGAACATTCAAGCTCCGTGGCTTCAGCGGTCTGCTCCTCTCACTGAACCCGTAGCAGACAGCTCGACCCCAGCCAGCCGCGTCCATTCTGCCCCGCTAAATCTGCCCGTCTCTGAGGAGGGGCAGAGTGAGCGCGGTTGACCGAAATCAGACTGCCTGCTATGGATTGAACAAGAAGAAGACATCGCTGAAGCCCCGGAGCTCAAATGTTTACAGAGAAGTTGCTAAACTTCATCGTAATTAAGGACCAACCATTATCAGTTTTAGAAAATGAAGGATTTCTCAGCTTGATACTTGCAGCCAAGATATAGTTTAACCTGCAGGAGATATTTATCAGTACAACAGTAGACAATCATAAAAATAAAAATAAAAAAACATGATTTGAAAATTACAAGAAAATTAGATGTGTGTGTGTGTGTGTATATATATATATATATATATTATATTAGGGCATTAACAGAGTACTCGAGTAATCTACACATCGATTGCTAGGACATCTATCGAGGTTAAAAATGTAACGTCGAGTAACCGTAGTGACGTCATATTATGTGACCACCGTATGACCGTAGGGGGTGGTGTTGCACTGTTGCAGGTCACAGAGTATGGTGTAACACCGGGTCCAATCCACCGAACCAGAACCAGCTTCCTATGACCTTGTTTCAAAAACAAAAAGCAAAAACTATTAATCTCTAAACCTATTAAAAAAAATCTATGAACATATTAATCTCTAAACTTAATGCGCACCACAGCTGGCGGTGGTGCGGGATGGTCGACCCCCCC